CAAGTTTTTGATAAAGCATTTTTTGAAACATACACTCTGAATGCAATCAAACATGCATATGCTGCAACTGGTATTTGGCCACTGAATCCTAATACAATCAATTCTGATCACTTAATACCTTTTTTACCAACTTACCAACCTGCTGTTGTAAATCAAGAAGTAATTCATAACTACAATACAAGAAATAATAAGTTAATTTAGCTTGAGAATGAGAATAAAGAATTACATGAATATATTCAAAGATTGGAGCATCCTGGAACAGCATCTTTAGCTTCAATTATAAAGTATCCTCATCCAAAGCAATTATCTGTTGAAAAAAAACCTCAAGTCTGACCTAAGTCTTTTAAGTTTGGAACACTTGTAACTGCAGAATCGATTGCAAAAGAATTAGAAGACATAGAAAATGTAAAATGCAAAAAGATTGAAGATACAAAGTTAAGGAAAGAATAGCAAGCTATTAACAAGAAAAAAAAGTAAAAAATAATGATAAAAATAAGTAGATTCTTCTCATATTATTAGAAAACAAAATAAATTTATCATAGTCCCTTGATTTTTGTTTTGTGATGAGCTTAAATAAAAATTAACTTGTTTGCAAAATTAAATATTTTGTTATTAATTGAATACATATATTAAATAGATTGTTTAATAAGTAAATCAACAAAAGCTTATTAAGTAAACTTGTTTGTTGTAATGAATTACATAAGCTCTAAAATTATTATAGAAATTAAATAAAACTTTATTAACAGGTTTATTAATTTAATGTTAATAAAAAAAATATATTTTTTTATAAAATTTTTAATCTAAATTTAAACAGTTACATGAATTAATAAATCTTACCTAATTTGTATAAAAATTTTATAATAAGTGTAATTTAGTATCGTAAACATGTTTACTTAATATACTTTGTTCACTTATCTGATAAAAAAATTATATTTAGTATATATCTACAAGAATAGAATACTGGCCTCTAATTTTATACAAATTATCTGCATTTTAAGTTTATAATTAAAATTTTATATTTATATATAGAATATAAAAATATATATTCAAATAATAAATAATTGTAAATTTTGTAACTTATATAAAATTTAATCAATAAATATTAATTTTTAAAGAATTTTTATATTTAGAAAAAAAAAATCTCTGAAAATAGACAAGTATACCTTAAGTATACCTTTAACAGAAAATCTCTTTTAATTGTTTTTAATTACTTTTTACAAAAAGTTTTCATAAGAATAAAGATAAAATATTTAGTATTAGTAAAGTTTATTAAATTTCTACTATATTTAAATTATTAAGCAAATATAAATTAGATTCACAAATTACTAAACTATGAGTATTATTAATATAAAATTTTAGTTTGGTAATCTTAGTGTAGTAATTAGATTATCAGACTATTATATAGAGGTTTAGAGTTTAAATCCTATTGTTAATAAAATTTGAATATATATCTAGACTTTAAATCTTAATTAGTACAGTAAACCTTATCTGTTTCTAAAGTTTGTAACTCTGTAAGTTAAGTTATATCAAATAAAATGAATATTAGTAGTAAAATAAAATATCTAGAAAATCTAGATAAAACAGTGCAAGTATAGAAATAGAGGATACTAGGAATAGAAATTGAACAGAAAACTCAAGAGATATATTCATATTGTTTAAACATAATATTTTTATATCTGGTTTAGGTCATAGAACAAATTTTCTTTTTGTTTCATTTCCTTTTTTATTTGTTTTGTTCTATATTAGTTTTCTTTACCTGTGGTAAGTTTTTTCTAATATAGATTTAGTTATAGACTGTGACTACTTAGGTCTATATAATTTTTATCTTTTTTATATCTTGAGACTCAATATTAATTTCTCTTTACTTAGTTTTGACTAAGTAAAGATGAATTTAGGATCTTGATATATAGCTAGAAATTGCTTTTGTTGATCAAACTCTAGAATTTGTTATACAGACTAAGGTTTTTATGAAAAAATAGCTTCTACAGCAGATCAAACTTGGGTATCCTTAAGGTAGCCAAGTTAGTTTAAAATAGTTTAGGAAGAACAAATTAGTATAGTTATATATTAGATTGTTTTGTAGCTTCTTGTTAAGCTTTCTCTTAATAAAATAACAGGCAAGATCGCTCAAGATATAAAAAAAATAAAACATCTAGAAAATATAATATTATACAAATAAATCTTAATAGAATATACAGATATAAAAAATCTGTATAGTAAAAATCTTAAGTTAGTAATGTCGTATTTTTTAGATTGTAGGCTAATGCAGACAAATTTGTCTGTGTTTTTGCATTTATTCAGCTTTGATTTATTTTTTAAAATACAAAAATATTAAAAAAATAATTATAGATAATAAAATTTGAAAATAAGAATTATCTTTTTGCAGTA